CACACACACACACACACACACACACACACACACACACACACACACATTTAAAAGACAGGAAGAGGGAAGTCCAATACTTTTCTTACTTTTAAACAACTCAACCACATTTTACATAATTTGTTTGGAATTGTTTCTCTCTGGAAAACAATGATTCAATGGTTCTTAATACGGGTTATGCACGTGACAGTACTACTATGTGATGGTATAAATATAACTCCAAGTAAGACAACACGAGTTAATAGTTTTAAAGAGTAAACAAAGTCACGAGTGGGACGTGAACACCCAGTCTCCCATATGTTTACTGATGCCACCTCTCCTACACATTAGCAGTTAATCTAGTTCGTTATTTTACATATCAACTGTGTCTATAGGACTTACCTGTTCTCGTTATCTACAAAGAAATGGAAGAAGTCGTGAACTCACTGAGCACAGAGCAGCGTGAGGATGGGCACAGGCAGCGGTGGCTCGTCTTGAAGGCGTCGAGTCAAAAGAAGGCGGGAACCATGCTTCAACCCTTAAACCTGATTGGTCGGGAGGTCAACGCGGCTTCTAGCGTAATGACGGAACACGTCACGTCGTCCCTGCGTCAGTTTAGATGTTTGGCGCCAGCGGACAAACGCCCAAGACTGGATACTAACAAAACGGGGTTCCTGAATATAAATGTAAGTATCGGAGTGACAGTTGTTTCACTAATTTTACTTTTTTTTGCTAAACGAATACATTGCTTTTGATACGAGCCATGGCAGTTAGCAGACTAACTGTATCTACTTTCTAGCGTTTAACGGTAGCGGGCTATTTAGCTAGCTAGCTTAAGATAGCTCATTTAAGTAAAGCTAACTGTTGTGACGGACTTGTTTGCATGCAACACACAAGACGGGACAGCGTTATGTCATCTCGGTTAGAATTGACAATTAAACGCTGATAACTGTTTAATGTTGTTATAATGTTTAACTGTTTATTCCTACCATTTATAATAGATATATATCAATACACTGATTATTCCTACCATTTATAATAGAGAGATATCTATACACTCTAAATACACTCTGAGGTGTGCCTAAAGTTGGGTGAGCCTCATTGAGTTCATCAAAACTGTTAAAGTTTTAAACAGGAATGTCTTGATCTGTTTTTTTTTTCTACATTAGACAACTACATACTTAGTCTAAATGTTCATATTAAAGTAAGTAAGCATTTAAAAAATGTTTGATAGTTCTGTATTAAGAAAGTATGAAGTCACTGTTCCCTGTAATGTCTTGTTTACTTCCTTTAGTGGTGACATAATCTATGGAGAAATAAATGTCAATCTGATGGGACACTTTGGACTAAAACTAATCCAGTCTAATTCAATAACACAGCAAATAAATCTTACTTTGATAAATGTTATACTGTTCAGATTTTGCTGAAGCTGTTTTAGAGAGGTGGTGATTCAACTTTTGAACTTGGAGGCTATTATTATGGTCCTGTTGAGTTATGTTCTGTTTTACTCACTGAGTGGTGTTTTCTTCTAATATTTAGTCTAATCGAGAGCAAATGTGCTCTGAGGTATCCTTAATTTTATCTGCTACTGGTTATTTTGTGTGGTTTGTGTTTTTCTCACTATGTTGCATGTTAGGAAATTATTCCAGCGTCTTAATAGAGTTCAGTATGGTGTTTATAACAATTGGATTACCTGAAACCAACAAAAAGAGCAGATGTGGCTGGGGCTCTACATAGCTGTGATCATAGATTTGCGAGTGTCTGGATTATCCCTGAATATGCTGTGCTTTACATGCTCTCACTCTCTTTGTATTGGTCTTCACCTCATCCTCCACAATCCACATTGTGCTGCTTTGTGACTGAATAACACAGAGCGCTGAACCAACATGTTAAACGGTGGCCAGTTTGTGGAGGCCTTGGGCCGTCTAGGTTATCCCGGTGCGTCATCACTGAAGGCCTCCGACTTCGACTGGCTGTTTGACTGCGCCCCGGAGAACCTTCACTTCTTGCGCTTTGTCTGTCGGACCCTCAACCAGAGCAACGTCCTTACCGTGGAGGAGGCACGTGCCTTTCGGGAGCTACGGAAGTCCGGCAAGCCGTGTCTGGACGAAGCGGCCTTGGGCGAGGTCCTTAAAACCATTGGACCTTCGGATGGGAGCGGTGCAAACATCTTGGGGCCCTCTGCTTCATCTTCATCCTCCGTGTTTGCGGCCGAGGGGGATGTGGCCGTAGAGGACTTGGAGGCGGAGCTCCAGGCACTGCGAAAAGAAAAAGACCTGAAGCAACGGCGGTATAACCGGTTGCAGGTTGCGGCCACCTCCCGTGCAGATGTTGACCTCCGACTTACTGCGGAGCTGGAGAGCGCTTCATGTAAGCTAAAGGAGGCCAGTGCTTCCATTGCAGCTGAGAATGCTGACACAAACGCTCTCTTTCAAAACCTAATGGATGAGGTGAGAACGCTTGCTTCATATCTCCCCGTTCAGCCAGACCCTGTGACCTCATTAAACCCTTCTATCCCCAAAAGCCCCGCTGTCCTCCTCTCTCAGCTGCCCTTGGATCCCTACCTGCACCAGGAGGAGCTCAACACTAAAACACTGGCTGTCTTCACCCAAAAGCATTTCTTCCAGGACATCTCTGACATTGTTGAGACTTCTTGCTCCGATCGCTTCCAGCTCCTCGACCTCAGTTCTTGTGAAGAGGGAGAGGACGAAGAGATTAAACACGAGGGGAAAGGTAGCAAGGCGCAAATGGTGGATGGCAGGAGGACAGAGATGGCCAGACTTCAGTGGTCACATATTGTGGCCCAGCACCAACTGATGCAGGCCATGGCAGAGGAGAAGAGCGTCATGGCTGGACTGGATTGGCTCTCTGAGAAGTCCTCCCATACCAAGGTAAAGCCAGCAGACAGAAACTGAGTTTTATTATCTCCTGCAAACAGTATCGCAGCTCTCATAGTGTGTTCAGTTACTATTCCGTTCCTGTCTCAAGCTCTCCTTCCTAACTATCTCTTCACTCCACCAGAGCATCTCCATGTCCTCCTCGCTGCATGTCCGTGAGGCCGTGTCCAGGAAGGAGCTGCAGGCGGTGGAGGCTGAGCTGGAGGCTCTGCTGCATGGACCAGTACCTGCTGCTCTGAGAGAGTCAGCCAGGCTGCTCAATGTGCCGGTAGTGAGGGGAGACCTGGATCTGCAACTAGCCAGGCAGGACTACTACACCTCCAGACAGGATCGGGTTAGTTAGCGATATCACCCATTTCATTCCATTTGCTTTTTGTGGAAATATGAATCAGCACCCATTTTAAAACAAATTTGACTTTTATTGTTTTAGATTAGAGACCACCTACTCCGCCAAAAGGCGTCCTTTGACCTGGTGCGCCTGGGTCAGGAGATGGAGTTGAGGAGGTGGAGGAAGTGTCTTCAGCAGTTGGGAGACGTAAATAGCAGACTTGTAAAGGATGGTGAAGCGGCAACCCTCAGAATGGAGTCCCTGGCACACCCGGACCTGGCTATCAACCTCAGGCCTAACCCTATCATCAGCTGCAAGGATGCAGCCTTCAGCCGGTAAGAAGACTCGAGCTGTACTGTAGACTCGGGCTGTCCCAAATACCATTGGCTCTGGAGCTTCAGTAGTGATCAGCAGCGAATATTCAGAGCTTCTGCAGCTGCAGCGCCTAGCTGTTACTGTATACTGTGGTGCTATGTTGCTTGCTTTATGCCCATGACACTCTTAGTCCTTATTTAAAAGCAGGCTATCTCCCATCAGAGTGTAATTCAGTCTGCACCTCTCTGCTCAGGCTGCTCCAGATCCTCAACCACGACTCAGACCACGGCCGGTCGGAGCCTTTCCGGACATATGAAGCGTTGAACCACGCCGCTCGCGACCTCGCGGGCAACCTCCAGGTGACCCGAGACGCTCTCGCTGGTGCCGGCCGCCAGCAGGACTACACGGCCGCTCGTCTTTACGGCGACTGTGAGGCGCTCCATGGGGTGACGTACACAGAGCTCCAGCAGCTGATCTTAGGGCCGCAGGTACGTCCAACGGCCATCACTGACCAGGAGCTGCTTTGCCCCAATGCACAGGTGGGTTTGATTCCTTTTGGTTTTATGCACAGTCATCTCCGTCAACTGCACAGAAGCAGTCCTTAATGTGAGTCAGTTGAATTTTAAATGACGTCACTATTGGTGAGGGAAGCTGGTAGCACCATATGGTTTTTCTTTTGCACATTATTCTAAATATCATAATGTCGGGCCTCACGTTGGGTATGAAAGCACTGTGTGATTCAAGTTTTTTGTTCCTTTGTTCATTTCTCTTCCCGTGTCTCTGCAGGAGCTGACGGTGAAGCTGGTGGAAGCAGAGTCTCAGCTGCAGAGTTTGCAGCACGTAATGCAAGAAATCATGGCGGAGGTTAAAGTCAAGCGTTCTCAGCTGGAGCGCAACGCCCTCCTCAGGCGGGAGAGGGAGTTGTACGTCTACTTCCACTTGGATGCCCGGCTGCTGAAGAAAGTAGTGGAAGATCTGGAGGGCAAAATGGCTGCGAAGAGAGGGCAACAGTGAAGCCTGCCAGAAGGAACGAGGAGCGCTTATAGATGGCTCAACTACAGTTTCTGTGCTAAGGGAGTCCACCTGTGTTCTAAAGCTTGAGGATATCTGATAAGTACACTGTGCTGTAAGGAGGTTTACTGAGTAAGCCTGGCCCTGGTACAGTTTGTACAAGTCTGAACTTCCTCAAAATCTGCTTCTTCACCTGGTTTGTGCAAGAGACGGAGATCAATCCCTTGAGTCTTCATTTTTGGGATAAAACTCAACTTGGATGAGAAATGCTGCATATGATGATTGAGATTAAATGTTCATTCCAAACAATTTTTACATGAACTAATAAGAGAATTTAGTGTCTTGTTTTGTCCTGTAAATACATGTCCTTGTTTTCTTTTTGTCATCCGATAAATAAAGTAAAATGTTGTCTTTGTGGAGGTTTAATTGTGAAAGTTTTGTTTTATTTGAGACGATTGAAGTCTATTTCTGAAGTGTGATGTGTGTTTTTGAGATCAGTTTAAACCAGATCTGTGTGTAACTGACCTCTCCCCTCTGTCCTGTTTAGGCCGTTGACAGTTGAGTCTGATATCCTCAGCTAGAGAGAGTAGCAGGCGTTCGGACAGGGGAGAGATGGAGCAGTCTAGCAGCAGCTTGTACTCAGGACCTCTGTCCCAGGCGGCCCAGAAGATCCTGGCTGTTCTGCGGGCCCAGAGTCTCCATGTAGCCAGACGCAACCACAACTACTCCTACGATCACAAGCAAAGTCAGTCAGGGGGCAAGCATAGAGTCATTTAATACTTAATATATATTGAGTTACCAGAGAGTTCATCGCTATCTCCCTTGTTTGGTATGTAGTGGAGAGGAGTAATCGCAGCCAGAGGGAGCCGTGGGCTCAGAGCAGCTGGAGCACGAGTCAGGAGGAGAGCAAAGAGAGAGAGACAGACCGGTGCGTCGGGTTAAGTAGCAGCAACACACCGATATAAAACAACTTGTATTCAGTTAGAGTATCTATTTTATTAGCATAGTATTTCTACTGTGAGCAGATAGGTGCAGAAGCATCTTGGCCTGCGATGTAATCTGCTGCAGTTTAATGTATATTAGTACAAGGACCTCACACTGGATTTTGAATGTAATAGTCATGAGTTCATGTTTATAAATGAGACATGATTTTATATACTGGTGCCATAATATCATCCCTAATGTACTTAATGTAAACGTAAAAGAAATCCCTTGTATGGCTCAGACCATGGTCCAGCCTCCAGGTGTCGTCCTCTCCCACTTCTTACCACAATGCCTCCGACCAGCGGCAGAGCTCCTGGACCTCGGCCTGTTATCAGTACTCGCAGACGCCCGACCGCTCCCCGTCATCCCAGACCTCCTCCTGCTGGGATTCCTCACTCCAAAGGCAGACGTCTCGTTATCGGGGCTCACAGATTCAGTCCCACAGAAAGTACTCCGAAGCCCCTGCTGGCCGGCCCAGTCAGACTCTGTCATTCACTCAGCAGGAGGAGAGGGAAGCATCTTCCTCCCATAGAAACAGATGCACCGCCCTGTCCCTCCAAATACCAGAGAGAATCTGTGAACAAGCTACACCATGGAGAAAGTACGTAGGGAAGAAAAAGTGTGTTCATTTATGTATGCATATAACATGCTTGAGAGTATTTCATATATGCAACAGAAAGGAAAGCAGTGTGAAGTTTAGCATGCATTAATGATCTGTTGCTGGTTTTGTGAGTGAAAAGCATGCATTATAAATTTGACACTGTCTTTTGCTTTCATAGCTCAACTGAAGAAATCAGGCCGCCTTTCATCTGCAATCTTTCTGCAGACGAGGAGGACCCTGATGGGGTTTTGTTCCCCACAAGCGTGCACCGTAGTGCCCACAAAGAGGGGCATGCATTGGCTTGTTACAGAGTTTCTTCTTGCCTTAAAACAAGTGAAGAGACAGCTGATGCACAGAAAGAAAACAGAGATAGCTGGAGTATCCCCAGAGAGCAGCTAAACACCACTGAGTGGAGGCTTTCTCTATTGAACCCTACTGAAGAGGTCAGTAGTGGAGGAAAAGATGGAGGCATACAGTCAGAGGAAGAGGGACAGCAGATAGTGGATTCAGAAAATATGATGCAGGCAGGTACAGCACAGATGTCAAATGAGAAAAGACCAGCCAATGAAATGGAGGGACTTATACTTTTGGGAACCAATGAGAACACTAGTTTAGGGAGGAATTTTGACTCTATACTTACAAGTGATATGGACAAAAGCTTCTATTGTTATTCTGAGGTTGCAAAGTCTGGGCAGAATGAGGATATTGACTTTGAGTACAGACTTAATACACCTGAACATCCACCTAGCATTGAGGATAAAGAGATATCTCATACTGGCAGTCCCCAAAAAATCTCAGTATCTGTAGAAAGGGGACAAGACAAGGTGAGCCCAGCTGAAAACCCTCAGGATATGAGTCACACTGTGACTGAAGCAGCAGATGAGCTCCCCACAGAAAACCCACTGATGCAGTGCGAGCCCACCGAATTAGTCCCGGGCGACACCACCGCCGATAACCCGGAGAGAAGCACCGAGCAAAGAACAGATACAAGCACCGAAGATAAGATGGACACAGAGCAGCACCTTTGTTCTGATGTCCAGACAGACGATAGAGCGGTCACTGAGGTACCCGGAGGAGACACTGAGCCGGACGAGAGGGGGGCAGACCGACATGAGTCTGGGATGACACCTGTGGACAAAGAAAAGGAGAGCACAGCTACAGGTAAGGGATGGATTATTGATGCTGTTCTTGGTTTCTACAAGGTGATCATCTTAGAATGGTTTCTGTAGTATTTATATTCCATTTACAACTTGTTATAATGTAATACTACTCTGCCAGAGAGTATTCGAGGTGGCTGAGATGGTAGAAAGTAGTTTTAGCTTTTAAAATATTTCAGAAAATTGTAGAAAAGTTTGCAGTATGGCAAGTTTATAATGAACGTCACCTTTTTACCACATGTATAGTCCTATTAATGACCACGAGAGTGTGCTAGAGTACTTTTCTACTTAGGTGCATATCTGTTGGAGCCAATGCACTCCAATACAAACAGTATGTTGTTGTTTTTGTTGTCAACTTGTCGCACTAAGAGTTCCCGAAGCTGCTGGGTCTCTTTAAACAACTCAAGGACTATTAATGCTACCTAATTAAAGAGGATAGAGACTCAAAGAATTATTAGAATGATACTTGTCAGAGTGTTGGGGCTGTATTATATTAATTAATGTTACCAGAAAAACATACTACTACAGCATTACAGTCTATAAAGCTACACTTAAAGTCGTTAAAATTGTGGAGACTTTTTTTGATGCCAGTTGCTAGCTGAGACAAAACAGCGCCGGAGGGGCAAAAGTGTTTGAAGTTGTGTCAAACAAATGGCAGTGGCTTTCAGCCATCTTTCTTTCATCGGAGTGGCGCCGACAGAGCTGCCGCAGCACCGACGAGGGATGTTGTGTGCCGGCTCACGTTACAGCCGCAGGAAGGAAAGCTTGAGTCTCAGCTGCTGAGACAACGCTGAGTCGACTTGGACGCATCTACAAACACAAGTTGTTTTGTCGTAACAAAAATGTCCTTGTCCTGTCACACACTGCTGAGGTCTCACTGTGTCAGCGTCCATCCATGCTTCGTCAAACACGTGCTTACATAAGAGAGCGGGTCATTGATGGAGGATGTGTCTGAAAAGTGATGACGTGATAGAAATGCTCTCATCTCATCCCCCCTCTAGAGGACTCAGGTAGAGGAAGTCGTTCCACGCCAACGTTGTCCCAGGAGTGCAGGACCAAAAGGTCAAGGTTCAGAGCTCCCTGTCTCGACCAAGTGAGTCTCTCTGGAGCGAGTGTGTACCAGTACATGACGGCTATACTTTAAACATAAAGCAGTGATGCCTCAGGTACTTTAAAGGCAGCAATATGAGGCATGAGGTAAAGTTCAGACACTTTAATTGGGGGAAAAAGTTTGCCTCGCTTGCTTAGATTTAGTTGACTTATCTTTTAGTTCAGAAATCCTTATGTTTCCTTTTTTTCATCTGTCTCCCACTCTGTAATCCCTGTAAGCAGAGGCAACAGCGTGTACACAGCAGCAACACACCAAAAAGTTCTGAAATTTAAAATAGCTGCTTTCAAAGGGATTAGGCTTCTATTTCCCCCGATGCACAGAGAAAGCAATCTGGCTTGTGTGACAAGTGATAGCTCCTCAATGAGTCGTAAAGTTTAAAAAAAAACTTTAAAAGTCCTGACAAAGGAGCCCACGATACATATTGGAAGAAAAGAAGAGAGAGCAGCAGAGACAAAGGACTGTAAAGGGAGCTGGAGAGATGGAGGGAAGGTGTGGGAAAGAGCGATAGAGGAAGGATGCAGGGGGAGAGGTGAGGGGGAGAAAAGTGGGAGAGGCTGAAAGATGGAGGAGAAGAGGGATAGAAAGAGGGTTTACCTTTACTGCTATAATCAGCAGCAAACACACCGATCCATTCTCTCTTTCTCTCTCTCTTGTCTCTCTCTCTCTCTCCCACCTCACTCTCTCTCTCTCTCTCTCTGTCTCACTCTCTCTGGCTCTCTCACTCACTCACCCACTCACTCACTCACTCTCCCTCTCTCTCCCTCCCTCCCTCTCTCATTCTCTCTCTCTCCCTCCCTTCTTCCCTCCTGCACCCAGTACTGGGCTGCGGGCCATGGCCGGCCTCTGTTTTCTATCTATATCCTGTAGCACAGCACCCTGGGGGGGGGGTTCATGACTTTGTCAGCAGGAAAACGTGTTGTGTTTACATCCAAACGAGGAAGACTCTCCTCGGGGAGCTGAATCACAGGAATCCATCGGCCCGCTGCTGACATACAGAATCCTGTGCATCCATAAACTCACACGTAGTCCTAGAAAACCCTCAGAATACCCAACTTCTCAACTCTCACCTGTGCTCCCGCTCAGTGCTTTTGCATAAACAGAGATGTGAGTTCCAGGTATGAATAATGGATGTGAGGGTGAGGGTATACTTCTGGGAGACGGGACTCAAACTTGTTGATCTTATTTCTCATGCTCCCACTTCACACTGTCCCTTCTGCTTCCTTTGTATTGCTCACCTGTTAATTAACTTTCTCAGCTTTCACTCTCTCTGTCACATTTTGTGTATCCTCCATACATGAATGGGGAGCGATTAGATAAGACATGCGTTCATTTCTGTGCTGATTATGTGCAACCAGAACATTTGACTTCTGCTTTTCTGCAGGCCGCTAATGGAAATGTGAGAGGAAGAAGCTTAAGCGGGGTGGTGGACCTAGCAAGCACTTTTGCTGCTGGACAGAACTCAGTACAGGACTTGGCTTCACCTGCCACAAAACCAAGCAAAGAGATGGCAAACAACCAGGTCCTTACTTCTGTAACTCGTTCACGTCATCCTCCCCTCATCCCCTCCTTCTCCTTAAAGAGGAAGCATGAAGTACTTCAGCGCCAATATGCAGACCCTCCTCCTAAAATCTACCTCACCAGGCGGCATGCAAAATGGGAAGCACCTCATTCTTCTCAAGAAAAGGCAAGGGAAGGAGGAGTTGATGAGCTGAGGAGAGCCAGGTCCAACACCTGTATCCCTGAACTCCCAGCTGAACCACCAGAGCCACAGAATGAAGTCAGTCCTTCACATAAATCAGGAATAATGTCAGGGATGCATGAAGACTCGTTTGCCTCAAAGCAAACTCGACAAATTCGGCAGAGAAAGGTGGAAGACAGATGCCATGAATCAGCTAGAAATGTTTCCAAAAGGACCCCATCGTCTATAACTGGCAAACCACTCAAGCACAAGCGAGCTAAATGTGGGCCTGACCAGGAAATAAACGGGCCAAAGATATCTCACGAGGAGGCCGGTGGTAACGAGCCCCAGAACCAATCTAAAGCTGGCTCTCTGACTGCAACCCTGACATCTGACCCCAGAGTGAAGGATTCTGGGAAGATGAACCCAGACGAGAAAATGCAAACGCTTGAGAGAGCGGGGAAGACCAAGGCGCTGGTGCTCACCTTGGTGTACCGAGATGGAACGACTCAGTTAGACCCAGAACAGGTGAGCAGAGCTCAGGTATCTGTAAACCGTTCACTCTTGTGGCTCACTGCTCTATTAACTGTTTGCTCGTGTTCATTTCCCTCTCTGATCCTGAATATAGAAGCTCGCTCCAGAGGTGTGTGGCCTCCTCATACTGATGAAGAACAATCCTGACGGCGGCACACCGGAGGACTCGCTCGAGCCGAGCGACGGTCTGGTCTACTTAAAACTAGAGCACACACCTGCATGGGCCCAGCAACACACACACCAGAGCCAGGAGCTCTTTACTAGGTCTGTGTGTGTGTGTTATGCTTTTGCTTCCATCAAAAAAGAAGCTTCGGGGTTCATACTGATTTCTTTTTAAAACAGGAGTACATAAATGTGTGTGTGTGTGTGTGTTCCGTAGAGATATGCTGCTACAGGTGCTATCGAGATCTCAACTGGTGGTGTGCTATAAAGCCAAGGATTTGCTTCGTACAGCTCTGCAGTTTTACAGACCAGAGCTCAGCTGGAAACAAGGTAGAGCGCACACTTAGAAACTTCTACACATTTCTCTGTGACTCTCCAGATGTGCTGTAATCTCCAAAAGTGCGTTTCCTCTCATCAGTGCACAGCACAGCATATTGAATACTGCTCAACATCCTAACGAGCTGTCCTCTCTCTCTCTCCAGTGGCAGGCTGTCGCATCCAGGACCCACAGGTGTCGGCGTGGCTACTGGATCCTGCAAATCCCTCCTCCTCTTACCCGGACCTTCTCTGCAAACACAGCAAAAGACCCCATACGACACCTAGCCTGGGTACCAAGAAGGTGAGTGAAGGTATACATTGTTGGAGCTGGTTTGGTTAAATTGTCTGGTACGCCTCGAAGACCTGAACTCAAGGAAGATGTAACATGTCTGTGTCTCACTCTCTCAGGTTTCTCAGGTCATCTCAGGTCTCTATTCACTCTACTGGCTGAACATGGAGCTATGCTTTAAACTACAGGTCAGTTGATGCACACGCACACACCTGTACACACAGTATAGACACGCAACACATTACCTGACCGACTCTTTGTGTGCCTAGAGCCAAGGGCTGTGGGAGCTGTACTCCGACATGGAGCTGAACATGATCTCTGTTCTGGCAGGTGGGAATCATTTTTCTTTTCTTTCCAGTAGACACTGAGCATTTTGTTTTGGGAGACTATGAACCTTTTTAGTTGTCAGCCTTGTGCACCGCCATTTTCTTGAAGAAATATCCCTAAATAACTAAAATAAACTTGGAGTTTGTTGTTTGTTTCAGCCATGGAGAGCCATCGCATCCATGTGGACAAAGAAGCTCTTAAGAGAACGTCAGACCTGCTGGGGGTGAGGCACAACGTCAACAACCTGTGTGGGGCATTAAATGTCACGGCTATTGTATATTATGGTTTCCCTGTGATTGTTATCAATAAATAGAGCAGAACAGTTTGATTAAAATAGTTTTTTCATTAGGCTGACGGCAGAGTCGACTTATCTCTCTCAGCAGGAGCTATCAACGTTTGCCTCACGGTGAATGTTTCCCACTAGAAAATCTGCTCAGAGCTAATCTCCATCAGCAGATCCTTCACATGTAGATTCTGTAGGCAAAGGGAGAAGATTTTGGGATCTAAAGCATTCTGGTTTCCATTTTTTGTCTGAGTAGAGACACGAAAAGAGGCGAAACGCATTGATCGAACTGTAATTGGACTAAAAGCAGCTTGTAAACCGGCTACTTGTGAAACAATCTGCACATCGTCTCTCAACTCCTACTGCAGTCTCGCTTCTCAGGTTGCTAATCAGATTCTATACAATGAGCAGCGCACAGAAGAGGAAGCCATGGCCTGGATATCTGATGTCTACACCAGAACCCAGGAAATAAAGCCTCAGTGGGAGGATATGTGAGAAACAGTAGAGATCTCTGGAAAAAAAGGATTAGTGATGTGGTGGGTGGACATCCTCCGGGAGCTGTCCTGTTTACATACAGATAAAAACCAGTCCTGGAGACACACAAAGACAGACATACAGATGTTGTGAACACGTGCATGCTCGGGGAATACGCACACGTTCCTAATCAGTTTTGCAGGCAGTCAAATACAAACACACACACACACACACACACACACACACACTCGCACTCGTAAACCCAATTACAACTTTTTGCAAGTGCCAGCAAGGGTGTTGTTGTGGAGAGAAAGTGTTGGTATCTTGCCGGGTTACTATAAATAGGATGGAGGGTCTGTCTTTTTTCCTTCAGGAGGCTTAGCTGCAGGAAGGAGCATCACTGTCTGCCAACACACACACACACACACACATACTGAGGCACTGATGTTTTTGCGGACTGCGGCAGAGTTATGTGTGTGTGTGTGTTTGTGTTTTTGTGATGCGTACCTGTGAGTGCACTCACGCATGTCCTGTTGAATTCCTTTCTATCGGCGCTGTCAAGTTCAGCCGTCTGAACAGCGAGTAGAGGATCCCTTCCTGTACGTCAACCTGCATCTCACAAACGAGCTATATTTTTTGTCTTGCCACTCAGCATTATTTACAATTCAGTCGGCCAAACGTCGCTTAATAAACCTCTTTCGCATTCTGTCTGTGCTTTTAAGAGATCGCTATTCAGATCAGATCAGACGGGATGAGGAGTCCACACTTTGATGCCGCGATTAATCCAAAATATTGCCCTAAAATATTAGATTCCTGCCGTGTGTGTGTGTGTGTGTGTGTGTGTTTGTTTGTTTGTGTGTCAAACACAGTACCAAAGGGCTAGCATCCAATATTGATGAGGCAGTCTGGAGGCTGCTCTGGGCTGAGAGCGAGAAGTACACATTTTTGGAGTTTTGGTACAAGTCAGCCATGAGGTCCTCCACCTTTTTTTTCCTCTTTCATTTATTTTTCTCTGTCTCTCCACCCTCTTCTCCTTCATCGCTCTCCTTCCTGCTTCTAATGCCCGCGCTGTTGAAATGTTTCAAATGCTATTTCCTATTACGGTCCAGCCACAGCTCTCCCCTGCGGCCGCCCAGTCCTCATCTATTACTGCCATACTTTCATCTTCTCAGTTTCTTCCCACTGAAGTATTTGCATCACATTTCAACTCTTTACACCCTTTAATTTTCTCTCTCCCTCCCAAATCTGTCACTCTTTTCCTCTCTCTGTTGCTTTCTGCCTGTGCTCTCTCTCGTTTCATCTCCCCCATGCTCTCCCCTCCCCTCCCTTCTCTCTTCTTGCCCCTCCCCTTCATCTACTCTCCTTCGTCTTTCTCATTGACTTCACCTTTGTGTCCTCCGTCACTGCCTCTCTCTCTCTCTCTCTCTCTCTCTCTCTCTCTCTCTCTCTCTCTCTCGTGATCATGCTGTCTCTTCCCCTGTCTCGCCCTCTAGCATGCTGTGTCTCTCTCGCTGGGTTCATCATGCAGCCTGTGTCGACCATCCTGAGAGACATTTGAGTGGATTATCGCAGCAGTCATTAAATAAACCCCGTCTCACTCTCTGCGTGTGTTAAGGACTTAGAATGTGGCAGAAAGTGTGTGTATGTGCGTGTTTCTGTGGTTTGTAATGCTGTTTGTTGTTAGTTTGTCTGTGTGACTGATTACAGGGTGCTTTGCTGTTGGCCATTGACAGGAAGGCGAAACGAGTTCTGTCTCACACATAATAACAGTCCTCCCCTCTTTACAGCAGGGTTCATACCCAGGCCTGACAAAATTTGTTCAGTAATTTACTTTGCCTGAAAGGTTTTTGGCAAGCGAACAGTCACCGGGCTGCAGAAGTGAGTTATCTCATCGTATTGGCATAAATAGACTCTGCTGTCTCCCAACATTTTAATTGGCTTTACATCCGCTGAGTGATAGACTGGCCAATCTGCAGAAAGTCTGACAAAGATATGAAATATCGTGATGGAATGAAATGCACCTTGTGGAATTCTTTTGACATTATTTAAAAAGTTGAGGTGTAGACCTTTGAATAGTAAGTAAGTACTGGTAACATGGCTAAAAGGAACCTTTGAAAATATGTTTTTTTATAAACCTTGATCTTCTCTTTTTCCCTCCCTGTCTCACTCTCTCACTCTCTCACTCTCTGTCAGACCAAGATGAAGCAGTTGGAGCAGGAGGCTCACCGAGCAGCAGGACAAATCTTCCTGGTCACCAGCAACACTCAACTACGAACAGTGTGTACATGTTATGTGTACATCTGTGGGTCATATGCATGCATGTGTATGCTTTTCATCTTTCTATATCGTGCCTGTATGTATGCACACGTTTCTATGTGTATTTTTCTCTGCACTGCGTGTATGTTTCAATGTTTTGTGGATATATCGTGGTTTTACAATGTTTGAAGGTCCTGTTTGAGAAGCTGTGCCTCCATGAGCGCTGCGAGAACAAGAAACTTCCAAAGACCGTCAACAAACAACAGCAGTCAACATCAGAAGCTGCAGTACGGCGCACACACACACACAAATGTGTTGATTTAATCCTTTAATCCAAGAAGAAACGGCTCATTCCTAATCAAAGTTTCAGAGGCACACGCATAAATACACACACCTGCACATCCAATTCATATCACGGATCATCGTTGAGTCTTAGGATTTGATGAACAGTTGCCAAGTTCATCCAAAGCAATAAGTAGACACGCATGTTGCCAAATTATTATGTAAATGTCTTATTTGTTTCAGTTGTTGCAGCTTCAGGACCTGCACCCGCTGCCAAAGATCATTCTAGAGTACAGACAGGTCCGTCATGTTCTCAGCTGCTTTTTAATCACGTGCCATGATGGTGAAAATCACTGTTTAGCAAAATGTTTGCTTTACTTACTAATGCCTGAAGAAGAGGAGTCTCTCCACAGCAACATCCAATGTTAAGGCTGGAGTTGTATAGTCGGTACATGTCATATATAATCTGTTCAAGAGGATCAGTGTGTAGCTCTGCCTTTTGAAGCCTCATCTAAAGTGTGCAGTAGTAGAGCACCTTAATTACTGCCTGCATTGTAACCCCCAGGTTCACAAAATCAAGTCCACATTCGTTGACGGGATTCTCTCCTGCATGGCGAGCAAGGTGAGCCTACAGCAGTAGAATGTAAACTTATTCACAGTACAAACATTCAGCAACAAGAAGGTCTTACAAACAAGAACTCACAACTGAAATATGGATTTTTCAAGACTTTTCTCCTTAAAGGTTGCGTTGCTCCTGCTGATGGGAATGTCAGCCATTCTCCTGCTGTTATTCAGCACTACAATAGCAAACAGCAGGGTGATGCTGTGGGCTATTCATACTTGTTTAGCACAGCTACAACACACACACACACACACACACAGGTACATGCTGCCTTAAAAGGTGTGATAGCATTACCCCTGCAGCAGAGAACACTCTCAGGGATGCTCCCGCTGTAGCGACGTAATAGAGGAACATCTCACCGGTTTCTCTCCACTGCTGTACTGAAGATGCACCTGTCCCTCCACATGGGCTCTGTTAGCCTCTGTGTTGAAGCAGCAGCTTGTGTTTGTCAAACCTGTGCTTACTCAACTCTGCAGTCTCTGAGTCTGTCTGGCTGTCTCTAGAGCTGGTTTGGCTTCTGATGGTGGTGATTTAGGTGATTTATTTGATGGTCTTTTAGGCAACAATCCCAGCTGGATTGCACTAGTGCTCTAGTGCACAATAGAGCAGCAGTAGTGTGGGTGCATGTCCTGCTTATTGCACCAACTCAACCCGGCACTACGTTCTACAAACAGCTTGTTCAAATCGGGCGTCAAGCTGTTGACGGTCGTCGGTCCAAAAGCAGAATCAGAGCGACGATGGCGATGAGGATCACAGCTGTTGTTTTCATAGGAATCACTTATATAGAAACATTACTGATCACATGGACTCATGGAAACATGTATATTAAGTGATGAAAGTATCTAATCGTGGTTCTCTGATTATTCTGACTCTCTTTCTGTCTTTCTCAACAACGCATCAGAGCTACGTTTCCTCTACATGGAACCAGACGAGCGCTGTGACGGGGAGAATATCAGCCAAGCACCCAGTAAGTATGACCCGCCCTCCGTCCGACATATCTGCTTCTTCTATTTCTCTTTATTTCTGTGATCTTATAACGAGTCATCGGGGTTAAGTTTCACCAGCAGGACAACACGGGTCACTCAGCGGAGCTATCCGTGGTGCTGAACCTCAGGCTGTGTGGAAAGTGGACACAAGTGTGCAAAAACACCGCTTTACAGTAACTGACAAAAAGTAAATGTACTATTATTAGTAACGTCTGATAGGAGAATACCACACACACGTCTTCTGCTTGCTGGTGTGTGAAATCATAACAAAACAGAAGCAGGCTGTCCTGTTTTGTGTCTGACAGAAAGTTTTTATGTTTTTTGCCATGTGGGTGTGTTTCTACCCGTATGTGGAAAATCAATCTGCTGAATTTCATCCCTGAAGTAAAACAGAAGGATAGCAAGTCTACTCCAAGATACAGTGCGTCTCTGAGATCGTGGATTCTATGATGACTCACAATGACTCATCACATTTTACAAGAGTGCAGAACAATGTGAAGCTACTGATACTATACGCAGGGTAACGCTCACCTGTCGTGTGTTATGATTGGAGTTTCCTCTGTATACCAGTATTTTGACTGTAGCTTTGTGCATTTTATAATATATATGAATAATATTCAGCATCTTTAAATTTACAAAAACAACATTTAGCCCATAAGAATAATGTTCAACAGTCTGTTTTAACCAGTATTGTAGGATTGACTTTTTTTTACATTTATAGTGAGAATTTGTAAAAGTAAATTCATGAAATGATCAGCAAAAGTAAAATGCTCGTTGTAGAAGTACATGAAGTATTAAACGGAGACAGAACATGGTGAAAAATACATTAATCAAAAAACAGACCCTCTCTCTCTCTCTGTCTCTCTCCCTTTTGCTCTCTCCCTCGCCTCAGTATTGGACGGTCGATAGCTCATTTCGACATTACCTAGCTGTCAGGGTCCAGTGGATCTGTCACTGAGCACTACTCTGACACACACACACACACACACACATATATGTAACTGGAGACATTGAACTTTTCTAATCTCCCTTAGCATTCACGTTCACTGCTTCTTCACTGCCATTGTATGCCGAGTGCTTCCCTCATGTTAAAACTGAATTATGTGGTTGTGGATTTATTGGATTGTTTTTCTTACACAATATCTTTTAACTGAACTGTAGTGGCCGAGAAACAACAAACAAACAAGTAGTTTCTTTGGGTGTTTAACAAGTATGACAACAAAGGAAAATAAATGTAGCAGGTAAATGTTTTACCGAGCTGAAATAGATATTTGATTCGTGGATTGACAGAAAGATAGTCATGAATCATTTTTTATTACGTTAAGTTCACTCATAATTATTCTCATCACAATGTGCTGACTCACTCAGTGATCGCTAACATGTCGCATCCCACCGCTTAAAGCTGCACTTTGTAGTTTTGCAGTTCTGCCACTCACCACTCTGCACACACACACACACACACACGTACAGTTCATACACACACACACATATTCAAATGAGGAGTGCTGCAGAGGGTTTTAGCTTTCATCTGTTGTGGGTTCATTTGAGGTGAAGCCAGACTGCAGCAACAAAGGGAGAGCCTGGATTAAAGCTAAACCGGTGCTGAGTTTAGAGGTGCAGCTTTGCCTCATCCGTTCTTATACCTGCAAGGAGCAACAATATCAGCTTCCTGCTCTCCATCTGCAGCATCTTCTATCTCTGGTTTCATTCTCAAGTTTCATTTTCATTCTCTTGGTCTTTCTTCCCTTCTCTACATGATGCTTTATTTCAGCCTCTTCTTTTTCTCTTTCCCTCACATTTACCCAATATTTAATAGTGTCGCAGTGCAACGAAAGAGGTCAAATAATATTGAACTTTCTCTCTCTCTCTCTTTTTTCTGTGTGTACTTCCTCCCACAGCAAGACTCAAAATCTTTAAAATTCAACTGAGGGATTTTCCTCCTAAATTGTGCCCATGAATCCCTCTTATCATGATTAACTCATTGCCTGCAACAGGTTACAATCACATGGCACAATTACTACTCTAGACTGATCACATTTTTCTAACGTGGTGCACGAAAAAAAAAGCTGACATAACAATATATTATAACAACACCTTATTACATTATTGATGTCAGGTTGTGTGTGTTTTGTCTTATGATCTCACAGCTGTGTCTGTTCCCAAACTGCTGACTATGTTTCCTTTCGGGCTTTAATGTTCCTTTAAGACTGCTCTGCATTCAGTCATTAAATGTTTTGCAGTCACAGAAGGTCCTCCCAGGGCTGAACTAAGCACTTCTCTGAAGTGTGTGTCATCCTCCGTGCTGACTCCCTGGCAGTGTAGTACACACACACACACACACACGTTTTTGTAGCTGCAGTGTGACTTGAGATCATTTCGCAGTGTGCATACAGACATGCGTGTGTGTGTGTGTGTGTCTGTACGTGTGCATTGTGTTTCGTGACGAGTCTTTAAATTGGCGCAGTGTGATTAAATTAACCGGCACCGGCGCAATGATTCAGTTGTTTTAACGAGGCACCGTCTCCTCTGAGGCTGTCGCTCCGTCTCTCGCTGGGACAGAGTTATGTTTGTGATGACACAGTGCCTTTCATTCAATTTGAACTGACGATACATGTGCCCTTTAATTGATACTTTAATCTGTAATTAGGGGAGGAACAACAACATCAGCCGCCATTTAATGGAGCCCGTCCTGTGCCGGTGCTCATGTACATATATATGTATATATATATATGTACATATATAGTATATATGTCTGTGCATTTTAATGTGCCATACACACACACACACACACACAGTGTGAGTGCTATCTTGTCATCTGTGTCTGGTGTTCGAACTCCTCTACCAGAGTTGACAAGTGAGTCTGACATTTAGAGAGCAGAATAAATGAAATGCAAGAACATTTGTGGGTTTGTTCTTTGAACCAGACTCTCTCAGTGTGACTCACACAGGGTCGTAGGGTTGTAACTCACAGCTGATGTTATTTTTCATTTAGTGGTTCGTTTGACACGCTATCGTGCTGCTAACATGCACACTGACATGCTTCAGTTATATAAGATGCCGTGAATGTTTCAGTGCAGTAGATGATGCCATCACAGGAAGTGCTGTGTTAACAGATCATTGAGCGACATTTCATCAGCCTGTAGTCACACTTCTGCTCATTAATACTACTTCATTTTAAATACAGACAACGTCAAAGTGCAATGTGTGTGTGTGTGTGTGTGTGTGTGTGTAATTAAAGGTTCATTATTGATTATTAGCCATGCTGGGTATATTTGTTGACATTGATGCTCTGCGTTGGTGTGTGTACATTGAAGCGTTGAGGTTTTTATGTGTATTGACCAGGAGAGTTATTGTGGCTATATACAGTGTGTGTGTGTGTGTGTGTGTGTGTGTGTGTGTGTGTGTGTGTGT